GTCTACAGCCATTGCGGATTCAGACGGTCTGCCTCTACGGAGCCGACCCGATCATTCATCAAATCCCTAGCCAATATGGGAATCAGAATCATACTCTCCCACCATGCTCTCTATCTAACCCATCCTTCCCGAATTCAGACGGTCTGCCTCTACGGAGTCCCGACGGCAGTTACGTTGCTTAGATGGTGGAGTAGGACCTCGTCCTGGGGAGCTCTTGTGCTTAGGAATTACAATGAGTTTGCGGAGGGAGCTCTATGGAGAGGTCGAAGTCGACGAGATCTCAAGGTCATCCTCCTTGATTTAGTTGGAAGTAGAAGCCCTAATGCCATCGAGGAGATTGGATCTGGGTTGTTCAATCTGCAACCAGAGAAAAAGCTCATCGAGGTGGGACTGTGAGAAGCGAATTCGCGATTGAGGATCACGACGGAGAAGCTTGAATCCTCAATCGCACTACGGATTGCCTCCCTCAGGTTCACCCCTTTGGGGAGATTTCTGCCGCCCTTCACCATCGTCAATCCCGATTCCGGTAGGCCTGCACACAAGTGATCCGGGAACCCGTTCCTCAGCTCCCTGCAACAGTAAATGAACACGCCAACGCCTGCCATTTTCGGTGGGATTGAGAATGAGAGTGCTCCTCAACTCCCTAGTATCGGAAGAAATTAGCAGAGACGGGAAGAGGAAGAGTTCGGGGAGGAAGAAGATGGATTGAAATAGATGGCCTCTCAATTTTAATTTGATATGGTTATTCTTAGGTCTGACCGTGTTATGGGTTGGGTTCACGTGTTGGGTTAGGCTAATCTGACATGGTGGGTAAAATTGACATGGCGGGTCGGGTCTCTTTTTTTTTTTTTTTGTTACATTAAGCTGATTGGGCGACATTGTTAGTCACATCAGCATATAACGGACTTTGTTAACGGAGACGGACGGAAATTAACGGAGAGTGACCAATCGTGAAATGTTAAGCACTTTCAGTGACCATGAATGGAATAAAATTCTTTTAGTGACCAAACGTGAATATTTTATCACTTTCAGTGACCAACCTTGCAATTTACCCGAGAAAATTTTGAAGAACAAGGCGACGAATAACGATTCAGGAAGAGAAAAGGAAAAGCAATCTCAATCCCAAAGTACACTAGTTTTTAAAAAAAATTCCCAAAATACATAAGTTATAAAAAAAATTCCAAAAGTACACATGTTTGAGCATCACCGTTTTAGATAAAAACGGTGAAGGTCATCACCGCTTTTGACCAAGACGGTGAATACTTCACCGTTTCAAACTAAAACGGTGAAGGGTTCACCGCGTTTGTTAAGAACGGTGAATACTTTACCGTTTTAAACAAAAATGGTGAAGCCTTCATTTGAATTTCAAGTATTTTGATAACTCTAAATGGTTCTCCTCGTCGATACGATCGCGCTGCCGAAAACGGCTCGTCATTTCGACCTCAAACGAATAAGATACGCGCGTTTTAGTTTTTAGTACGCAAAAGTTACTTTAACGACATGTGCAGCTTTGAACTCACTTATCTCACTCGTTTGGACTCGGAATTGAGATCTGTAAAATTCTATGTGATCGTGGTTGATTCTCCCAACCTTTTTGAACCCTTCACCGTTTTAGTTTGAAACGGTGAAGTATTCACCGTCTTGGTCAAAAGCGGTGATGACCTTCACCGTTTTTGTCTAAAACGGTGATGCTCAAACATGTGCACTTTTGGAATTTTTTTTATAACTTATGTATTTTGGAATTTTTTTTAAAAAACTAGTGTACTTTGGGATTTTTTCCGAGAAATTTTGGGTAAATTGCAAGGTTGGTTACTGAAAGTGCTAAAGTATTCATGTTTGGTCACTAAAAGAATTTTATTCCATTCATAGTCACTAGAAGTGCTTAACATTTCACGATTGGTCACTCTCCGTTAGCTCCGTTCATTGCCGTTAAAAGAGTCCGTTATCTGCTGATGTGGCTAACAGAAAAGTCTAGTCACCCAATCTTAATCCAAAAAAATCCAGAACGCGACCAGCCACGTCATAAAACCTAACCCAAGCCAAGCCAAGCCAATCCGACCCAACCCAACCCAACCTAACCTAACCTCTTCTTCCACTATTGACACGTCTCTTCATCTTCTTCTACTGGTTGTCTACAGCCATTGCGGATTCAGACGGTCTGCCTCTACGGAACCGACCCGATCATTCATCAAATCCCTAGCCAATATGGGAATCAGAATCATACTCTCCCACCATGCTCTCTATCTAACCCATCCTTCCTGAATTCAGACGGTCCGCCTCTACGGAGTCCCGACGGCAGTTACGTTGCTTAGATGGTGGAGTAGGACCTCGTCCTGGGGAGCTCCTGTGCTTAGGAATTACAATGAGTTTGCGGAGGGAGCTCTATGGAGAGGTCGAAGTCGACGAGATCTCAAGGTCATCCTCCTTGATTTAGTCGGAAGTAGAAGCCCTAATGCCACCGAGGAGATTGGATCTGGGTTGTTCAATCTGCAACCAGAGAAAAAGCTCATCGAGGTGGGACTGTGAGAAGCGAATTCGTGATTGAGGATCACGACGGAGAAGCTTGAATCCTCAATCGCACTACGGATTGCCTCCCTCAGGTTCACCCCTTTGGGGAGATTTCTGCCGCCCTTCACCATCGTCAATCCCGATTCCGGTAGGCCTGCACACAAGTGATCCGGGAACCCGTTCCTCAGCTCCCTGCAACAGTAAATGAACACGCCAACGCCTGCCATTTTCGGTGGGATTGAGAATGAGAGTGCTCCTCAACTCCCTAGTATCGGAAGAAATTAGCAGAGACGGGAAGAGGAAGAGTTCGGGGAGGAAGAAGATGGATTGAAATAGATGGCCTCTCAATTTTAATTTGATATGGTTATTCTTAGGTCTGACCGTGTTATGGGTTGGGTTCACGTGTTGGGTTAGGCTAATCTAACATGGAGGGTAAAATTGACATGGCGGGTCGGGTCTTTTTTTTTTTTTTTTTGTTACATTAAGCTGATTGGGCGACATTGTTAGCCACATCAACATATAACGGACTTTGTTAACGGAGACGGACGGAAATTAACGGAGAGTGACCAATCGGGAAATGTTAAGCACTTTCAGTGACCATGAATGGAATAAAATTCTTTTAGTGACCAAACGTGAATATTTTATCACTTTCAGTGACCAACCTTACAATTTATCCGAGAAAATTTTGAAGAACAAGGCGACGAATAACGATTCAGGAAGAGAAAAGGAAAAGCAATCTCAATCACCCTTTTATCTGCTGAACTATACCCAAATGGCCAAATCGGTAGAAAGTAAAATAGGTGGGAAAAAGGGTAGAGCTTTCTTTGATGTTGAGCTGCCCAATAGCAGCAGCAAGTGGTTAACAAGTTAACGTCATTGATCTTTACTCTCAAGCCCAATAGCTACTGAACCCTCCTGTCCTGCATATCTTTACTCGATCGTCAGCCCCCTTTTTGTCTCTCTCACTCACTCACCACCAAAGTCGCAGTGTTTTAGTAATGCTACCTGGGAATCAGGAACAAGTCGCAGCAGCGCATGCACGCCTGCTCTCCTTCCTTCCTGCGCGTTCCCACGCCACGCCTCAGCAGTTATTCTCTTCTTTCTCCAGAATCACAGTCTATCTATCTAGATTCTAGACCTTGTCAAACAATATTCTAACAAAAACTAGAAAAGAAGAAAAGAAAGCCTTTCTTTTCCTTTTTCTTTCCTCTTCCGTGATAATATGATCCAACGACTTCCTTCCTTCCTTCCTTCCTGGCCTTCACCATCTCTTTTCCTTTGTCCTCATCTGTACATGCAGCCACGCCTTACAAAAGTCAAAGGAGGAAGCAAGAACAAGGACAAAAGAACCCGCTCTGGCTCTGCTGCAGTACCAGCAGCCGGAACTGAAAGAATAAAGTCACCGGCGGCGTGCCAATTGCTTGCTGTCACAACCCCATTTGACAGGCAGCAGCAGCAGCAAGAATAATAAGTCACGTAAAAGCAAAAACACACCATCGTTGAATTGATGCATCGATGGTGGAGCAAAGTATCGCATTCCCACAGAGAAGGACACATCGCTATCTCAACCTCTCTGTATCCATATCATAAGCATATGATATGCTGTAAAAATATAGGACGCATGCTACGTGAATACAATCCGCGTGATGACAACAACAACAAAACTCCAACCCACCATTACATTACATTATATCATACTTCATAAACAACAAAAGTCCACCCAAACTTGACAAAACCAACATTGTACTTGTACCCATAAGTACTCATACGAAATACAGCACCACTACTAAGACAAATATTACTATATAATAAGATTGACCAAAAGGAGGCCACCACACAACAAGTTACTTTACCAACTCCCAACATTCGAGACGATTGATTGATTATATAAAAAACCATAATTCACACAAGTTGCAGCAGCAAGGAAGCTGTTGAAGCGTGCGTTCTGGAGGGTCCCTCTGTTTCTCCTTCCTTGAATTAAACGGCCAAAAGGCCACGCCCAATCTGATTCTGACCCCTCCATCCTCTTACTTTCACTAAACCCTAAGCCCATAGCCATCTCCTTAATCATTCTTCCTCCATCTTTCACTTTATTAGCAATTATAGGCTCTGCACTCCCCCCCTCTTCCTTTCTAGAGGCTGGATAAAAGAACCCCCCATATCTCTCTCTTTTCCGCCCGTATATCTAAAGCCTGCCACTGATTTCCAACTTCATCATCATTCAACCGAAGAGTAAAGACCACCTGCTACTGTTTGGATCAGCTCTCTCCCTCCAAGGAACCCTTCCTTTCACGCCAACTATTCACCACCTTAAGCAAACTTCACATTTTACCAACTTAACAACTCGATACTTACTTGCTACTCCACCTGCACAACTCACAAGCTTATTCCGGAAACACCGAGGATACGAGGTTCTAAATAGTAATGTACTTGTAACTGCCCAGTAGCGTCTGCTACTGGCATTCCACTTGCAGTAACAGTACTACTGCGGCTCACCATTCACCTGGTAGCGCAGTAAGCCCCAAGGCTTCTGCTTTCACCTTCAGTGACTTCAAGTAATGAATGGCTTCGTCTAAAACCACAACTGCATCCCTGCTCTTCCCACCTGGGATCAAATTCTGCAACACGTTCACTGTCTCGCGTATTTTTTCTATCCTCATCCTCTTATTGCCGAATTCACAACCAGGGTTTTCGCTAGATGCTGAATTCAACCCATCACAGCACCTGGATTCCGCATCATCTTCATACTCGGACACTTTGATGTCCACCTTCACGGAACTGGCAGTGTCCACAAGTGATGGCTTGTCGTCGCTGTGAGCTCCATCAAACAGCTTCCTTTTCCTAGTCGAAGAACCATCAGAACTGGCAACCACTTCTGCTTTGCTACTATTGGACAAACAGCGTGGACTATTGTGAGCTGTCATCGTACTGGGTGAATGATCTGTGCTGGTAACTTCATCATCATCATCATCATCTGAGCAATCGCTGTCACCTTCGGAGTAAAGCAACGCATTCAGTTCTTCGGTGTCCTCTGGCATCTCACTCTCCAAACCAGCACAGTCATGGTCGTTCTCAGTTGATACCAGATTCAACTGGAGATTTAGAGGCTCCTTTGATACAGGGCATTCATTATTCAACTTGGAGGCAACAATTGGCTTAGGACTCCAGGAAGTAAGGCATGGAGCAGGTGGCACAACGCCCGAGCTGAAGATGAGAGTTGTTTTATCACCAGACTGATCAAAGACAAGGAATCTCTTCTGGCCACCACTGTCAGATTCTGCTATGGGATTGATCATTGACTTGTGGCCAGAGTAGAGCCTCTCCCTTGGAAGAACAGGGTCAAGATCAGGCATAATGGCCTGTCTGCAATGTGGCAACCCATAAAACCAGCTATCATGTTCATTGGTCTGACCATGAACCCTTGAGTGAGGTAGCTCCTGGAAAGGGTGGGTGCCCAGATTCCCATTTGGGGATACCATGGGAATACTTGAGTTCATATGTGAAGCAATATGATCCTGTTGACCAGATTGGAACCACTGAGAACCCAAATAGTCCAAATTTGGTGATTGCCAATCAAATAGTTGCTGTGGGATCCAGGAACCAAAAGGGTCCCCCATCCAAATTCAAGTAATCACCTGTAACAGATAACATGAAGAAATCAATACAAACGATAATAACAAGGGCAGAATATTACTTATTAATGACTGAACTCCAAGCAAGAGACAAGAAACATACCGCAAAGACCTTCAGATGTCAAAAGCTTCGGGTTTACTGGCTGATTCTTTCAGTTGCAATTGTAAAAAGAAAAAACTCCAGTGTAAGCTTGAAAACACAAATGCAGGAAACAATATCTACGTTACAGGCTTCAGCAATTGACGGAAATATTCAGCCTGGAAGATCAGAGAAGAGGGAACAGAATCAGTATACACCATTTGCAAAACTCATATTAAAGCATACATGGAATCAAACAGTAGAACAAAGTAAGGTATCAACACTCACCTGGCACTCCTCTAATGTATGAAAGCATGCAATAACTCTAACAACTATGGCGGCACTCCCAGCAATCCCATTTTCGTACTTCACAGCCCGAAAATTTGTTTGGCTTGCTGCTTGGCTTACCATAACTACTTCACAATCCCTTCAATGTGTAATCACAATGGCAGTCTCGAATGGGAATGAATCAAACCAGGCCAATTACAAGATGAATCACTTGCAAGTGAAATCTAGACTTATCAGCAACAATTGAGACGCCCGAATCTTCAAGCAGGGGAGAGAGCTAGCTAAAATTTGAGCAAAACACAAAAGAAGAACTAAGAAATTGGAGGGGACTTATAACTTCTAGTATTCAACTAATCTGGCGCACAAGGCACGGCACGACAAAGAAAAATGAGGATCCCATGGATAAGGATTATGGATTGAAGGATGGAAAGAAAGAAAAAGGGGGTGTGATCTCTGGGTATCAAAATAAAGGAAAGGGTTTACAGAATCACTCTGCAATACAAGTTGAGGGAGATAACGTTGCGATAAACATCAACAGAAGCAGTCAGAATCCACCGCATACTGTCCCTTTCAACAAAATGATAGCCACAATTGTAGCTGGCAACAACACCAGTTCTTTTCCGGAGAAACCCTGCAAGAGAAAAGGATAAAAAAAAATGAAAAGGTCTCACCACAGTTAGAACACCGATCAGCAGGCCTTAGATCAGTAAAGAATAACAACCCAGAACAAGTTTACGGCAACCCACTTCCTTAGATCTGATTATAACATCAATCGAAATGCTAAAAAGGAGCGGAAGCCAGGGTTAAACCAAAATTAAACAACTGGGTACTGAGAAAGAAAGCATCCCAGTATCCGCCATACAGGCTGACCTTCAAAAAACGCTACCGAATTGGGGCACAATTTTGCAGATTTCAACAAGCGAAAAAACGGAAAGGAAAAAAAAAATTGCCGCAAGATGAGCTCAAAAGAAATGTGCAGAAAAGAAAATCTTGAGAACAAAAGCACCAAAAATCTATCACAACCCACAAGGCGAAAACACCAGAAGACGGGAAGACATCAAGGAAAGTAAGAAATCAAGCAAGTGAAGAATCTATCCACATGAGAAACTATTTGAACAGAGGAAAAAAAAAATGAAGGAAAAGAACTCACCAGATAAGCAAAAAAAATCGGGAGAGGCAGAGAGCAAAGCTACTCTTCGTACGTCGTAACACCTTGAAGAGAGTAAGAAGCTAGGATGGAATCGATAATCGAATCGCAGGCGCAGTACCAACAGACAAAGAGAGAGAGAGAGAAGGGTGCAAGCAGGTTCACTCAAAGGAAAGGAAAGCCCACAGAGATGAATGAATGGCGAAAAAGAGTGTGAAAGAGTCAAAGTCGGGGAAATACTGGGTAGGATGTGGGGTTTTATAGAGAACCGAATTTACAGAAATGTCCCTCGCGAGCATGCCCTTCTTTTTTCTTTTCGTTTTTTGGGTTTTGGATGGTTTGTTTCATACGTGTGGCAGCTTTGGTGCGAAGGAGGGAGGAGTGCACGCAAGGTACACAAGTGAATAATGGTGATGATGATGCACTCGATCTAGGGTGAGTATCGGGTTGGTTTGTTCAAAATTGAAATGAATTCGAACAAATCCGAAATCGCATAACATGCTCCGATCAAAATTGATCCGAAATATAGGTTGGTTAGGTTCGACAAAACTGACGTGTTTCATGTTTGTGGCCTGCTAGGCACGAGGCTGATTTGAGATAAGGGGACTACACGCAGCTCCATTACCGGCAGTCGAGCTTGTTTTTATGGCTAAATTAGAGTTGAATGGTGAGGAGGTGATGGAGGCAGCGTGGAGGGAGACTATAGTATGTACCTCTGTGGTCGTGCTCGATTGGCAGAGGGTGGAAATAAGAAGGGGTTTGTATTTTGATGTCGAATTTTATGGGAAGTTGGCAGCGTTAGGTGGTCGTCAGGTCGGTGTGAGACAAGGAGAGTCACATGAAGATAGAGGCGGAGAGACAAGAGAGAGGAGGAAGATAGGATTGGCGTCACTCATTTCTCGTCAACCGTCACACTCTATGCTTGATCTCTTCATGTTGGAGGTGAAGTAGTGGGAGAGCATGAGTTGGAAGTGGAGAGTGGGGATTTGTGAATTTTAATCTCTATGGTTAGGCAACTCGCAATTGTAATTTGCTAATTTGGGAGAGACTAACATAGGGGGCTAAGTTTGGGTGGGTTGGCAACTGTGGTCTATTACGTTGGGTCACGGACATGCGACTTTTGCTTAGGAGAATCTATGAGTCAGCCTGGGAATGGGTTGAGCATAACTCCTGGTTAGGGTCCGAAAATCGGGTTAGAACGACATAGATTGGTTGGTTCGATTTTGATCGATAGCCGAAATAATTAACTGGAGCACCTGATTTTGGCCCGAATTTGAGCTATAGCTCGATTCAGGGTGGGTGTTGAACTGTTGCTCGATCACCCCTCGCTGACTTTCCTGAAAGGCCACACATCTCTACACTGTTCCACCTAGAGCACATCTCCGTTTCACCTAAAAAAAACACGTCTTGTTCTTGTCAGCTAAGATTTGATTGTTTTTCCTTGCGAATCATGAACATCTTTCATACCTTGTCAATGCGGGATTTGTCTAAATCATTACAGATTATTTGTTTCAAACTAGCACACGGCATATTGCTTGATTGATGCATGCTTGGCAAAATCCAGTAAATACTTTGAAATCAACACTTGACCAAATCCATTCATTTCATCTCATCTCCTTTTTCGTATATCAAAAGCTCATGCCCATATTTTGTATAGCCATGAAGGGAATTTCAGGTAATGCTCTCAAGTCTCGCCACAACATCATGTTCATGTTCTTTTCCAAATAGCAAGGTTCGAGGGTGGGAGTTTTGGTATCCTATGTTTACTACGAAATGAAAGCCAATAATTTGGAGCTTGACCGTTCAAAACTATCCGATATGATGATTATGGAATGGGAGGAAATAAAAAAACCAAAGAGAAAGTGGAAGGCTTGGGGTGGAGGTGAAAGGGACCTACTGATCAAAGATTGGGTAGTAAAGAGTAATAAAAGGGTAACGAAAATGACTTCCCACTACCACCTCTCCATCTGTACATCAGTAACTTGCTTGTTATATACATGTTTCCATCATGAACACTTTCCTTTTCCAAATGCTTTGCTGGGTTTTTGGGGTTATTTATGAGCTCAAATGGGTAATCATGATTCATCCATATATCCACCTGCAGCCTAAACTTTAGGACTGGTTAAAGGGCTAAAGGCAAGGAAAGGGAGAGTAGTAATAGTAGAGAGGGAGGGAAGTAGGTGTTTGTAAAATCGTATCACATTGATCATTGACGGTATAATCGAGGAAAGTTCTTATCGAAGAAAATCGGTAAACAGGTTTTAGCGCTATGGAACGATTGAAGCATGGTTAAATCACAGTTTGAACGTAAAATAATTTATCACTGACTTTTTTCAGTACAACCCCCGATACGATTTTACATTCAGAAGAGAAAGGGCTCCAATTGCCAAATTCCTCCATGCCCCCACTTTACTACAATAATACTTTACACTGATGATGCACTCACTGTCCACATGAAACCTCATGTCCCCAGTATTTTGAGTATGAACATCCTTATTGGGCCCTTAATTACTTTGCTTCTCATTCTTGTCATGCTATTTTATAGTTGGTTGGCCTCTAGTCCTTTTGGTGGCCAATAGTTCTATTTTTTTTTTTTTTTACAAAGGATCTTTATTGCACTTTGAATAATTGGTTACAGAGAGAAAATAAAAACTTGACTTCAAAACAAGATCAAGGAGACAATGAAACCCAGGATGATACCAAACCATGCTAAGAAAATACAACCAGTGGAAGCACAGCACAGAATGACATCACTCAAAACAAACATCCAAGTTCTTGAGACAAAGGGAGAGCATTTATAATCCCTCTTTCTTCCAACCAAACCAAGAGCAAGAAGACCAGAACAGCTTGTCCGATCACAGCGACATCCATGGCATTGGACTTGCAAGCCATTTGTCGTCTCCTGGGGAGTGCACAAAGTCATCCATCACAGTGAATCTTAAAAGAGATTGCCTGACGGTGGAAGAGGCTGTGATGCAGATTGCTCCAAGCTGTGAAGGTAGAGGGGGCCAAGGTAGAGAGGATCGGTTCAAAGGGGAGCAAGCTTCCAAGTAGATCAACAGACCACCACAAAAGAACCGACTTCCACCGCAACCACAGGAGATGACTCGCCTCTTCACGATCCGACAACCATCCAAGCAACAACACCACCTTGGGGAAGCCAGAGGGGGGAGATGAGAATGGCTTCACCTTGCAGATGAGACCACCAACCTGGAAAGAACAACCATCACAAAGCAAAGGTCAAGCTTCCCAAGCTGCAACCTCCAGATCCTCAAACGAGCAAGCCTTGAAACCGCAAAATCCTAGATCTGGAATGCCAAAATGGCTGGAGAGACTGAAATCATGAAGATGAAAAGCCTAGAAGCAAAGGCCAGAAGATCGAAAACACGACAAGCAAGAAAAGCGATAAAGAAATGGAAACTTGGGCTGCCGCCGGTCACCTGAAGCAGCCGGCGGCAGCCATGGAAGGCT